GATATGTCTTGCACCAGAATGCATTAAAGTGTTCTACCAACAGTAGCAAATCTTACAGCCTAATAAGAGGAGTTTTACACTGCCAGTAGAGCTGCTATGCAAACATGCTTCTGGACCACCTTTTCCAGTGTAATTTCATGACAAAGGATTGCAGGCTAAACCCTCCCCAAACCCTAGCAGGGACAATCAGAAGATTAGTTTCTGAAGTACACTCCAGTTCCAAAGTAAAATGCTAATATAGATCCACTTAAAGCAGGCTAAAGCTATAGGTAATTAGAGCAATCATTAAAAAATATACATTCTACTATTTTGTATACAAACTTTAGTTCAAACAATGCATAATTTTTTTTAAGAACCTACAAGTTTATGCATACTTAAATAAGATACACAAAACATATTCTAGGGATACAAGCCAAAACTATATATGTAATAAATAAATAAACAGGAATCACATTTTTAACTTGTTCCTTTTCTAGCAGGACACAGCCATATTTGAAGAGCAGCGCCCTTGCACCCAGGATTTGTGCTACCCCATCAGGTGCAGTGGATATGGGCTGTCACAGCCTCGCTCTCCCCCCCGTGCCTTATTTCCCTTGCACAGAGGGTGTGGGGGTGTGCATGAGGATGACTTATCTGCCTTACTGGAAAAGCTTAAAAAAGAAAACACCCCAGCCCAGTGTGCCTAAACAGATGAAAAATTTTGATTTTGAGAGTGGTTTTTCACATACCCTACCCAGGGCCTGCTGATGCACTTACCTTGTGCTGAGCTCAGCACCGCGTCCTCACGCCTGCTTTACTGCTGCTGCTTGCACCAGAACAAGCAGCAGCAAAGTGCTAAATACTGGCCTCATCATTAGTGTTGCTGCTCGAGCAGGCACAGCTGCCTGCCTCTACTTACCTACATAATATTCTCCTCTGTCCAGGTTGGTGCAACCCTGGGCTGCTTGATGGTATTGGCAGCAGGGTTAGATTTTAAGTTTCTATGGAAAAGGCTGGTCAAGGTCCCATGAAATGCTACATATTGGCATTCATAATCTGTCTTCAAACAGGTAAAACATGGCTCAAATCATAACAGAACTAATCAGTCTTCATATACATGTAAAATACAACAGGAAGGTGAGGTGTTCAAATTCTCACAAGTGAAATTCTTCACTGGAAACAACTGTCACACTACATGGACACTTAAGCTATCCAGGAATGATGGGGGATTTCCATCACTGAAAACTCTTTAAAATGAGCAGGACAGAGCTGTGGGCAAGGCGGCGGGAGCATCGCTGCCGGTGCTGCTGGCCCGGGGACGGAGCCGAGGCCAAGCAGCAGCCAAGAGGAGCACTCCTACCAGCACACACTAGTTTTAAGGCTGCATTGCTTATTGCTCTCTGAAGTTACTTTTAATTAAGTTTTATTAAGTTTAGTTGAACTGCTTTCACTTAGTTTAATTTCTTTAAAACAACAGCTTATCTCCTAGGACCATTTTCTTTTAGCCACAGAGGCACACACAGGTACTGCTTTAAACATCATCTTGAGCCACGGAATTTCCTGTACTGGTTTCTAGTTTTACAGTAATACAAATGATAAATATTATTAAAACAAACAAAAACTCAAACCACAATAAAAACAGCAGCATGTTCACGTTTGGCAGGAACGGATTGCGCCCCGCCACAGAATCTGATAATTCTGAATGCTATTCCCAGTAGCAGATGAAAAGGCAGGGCTCCTGCAGGGCTAATCCTGCTATTAATTTCATATCCAATCCTCGTTTCCTGCCTGAGTGGCACCTGTGCCTTTCTCCCAGGCTGCCAATATGTGTTTGCATACACAAGAACCTATTTCAAGGTTTCCCCAGCAGGCATTTTATATATTTATACAGTTTAAGAGTGACTTGATTTTCATCAGAAGAATGTAGAATTTACACAGTCCCCAGAGAAAAACAAATAAATCTACGAAGACCTTACTTCTTGGAAACAAAATATGAAAAGTTTATTACCTTGGCAATAACTCTAAAGAAGGAAAGTGTTAAGACCCAGAGACTGGAGGAACAAGAGACTTCTAGCACCAGACAGAGAAGGCACTAAAATGAACACAGGCTGTCACAGCTAGGGGCAAAGAGAAGGGAGAGAAGCAAATCACAGAATAAAACCCAGGAAGATAGAGAGCTTCATACAATTTCTCTATGTCAAAAAAAAAAAAAAAAAGCAAGAACAGGAGACAAATCCTGCATGCAGATGTCAGCATTGGATGAAACTGGTCTAAGAGCTTGGTTCACCTGCCAATACAAGTAACAGATGGGTAGATGTTACCCTTGGGTGAAAAACAGGGAATGGAAACAGTTCAAGGCAGAATGTGAAACTTCGGCTTTTTATACTTGCAAATTGTATTAGAAAAGTGGTAATCCTTATTTTCCCCAGATGCCTCCATTATTTTGAAAGCCTGCTGTAAGTCACTAGAGCCAAATGCCCCTTAGGAGGAGAGATGTCATCAGAAAAGTACTAAAATCAGCAGCTAACCTATGGAAAGCAAAGGTTTGTAACCATGAAGAGACACTGCCCTCGCTACCACCACAGAAATCATCAGTACAGACTACAAGGCAGATGGAGATTTCACACTGTTGAGAGCTGCTCTTTTTCTATTATGTTTACTCAGGTACACGTATGTGCACTGACTAGATGTGCACACAATATATTCTAGATGCATATACTATGAGCACAACTGAGTATAAAAGTCTACCATGTGCTGGGAAAGCTTAGAAAGAAGACAAGCAACCACCAAAAAGTGACTGCATTCCTCAGGAGAGCTGTGCATCCGTTGAACCTTCCCTCCTCCTACATGGATGTCCTTGTCATGTCTTTGCCAAATCTCCATGTCAGAGCTTATGTCCCTGTTGAGCAAGCAATATGGCACATCACACAAATGATGAAACGGCTGAGTGGAGAACCATAGGAAATACAGACCCCAGCAAAGAGACCTTGTCAGGAGGTCAACAGGCATCTCGGCCACCCAGCCAAGCAGCGCTACGTCACCCCGGAGCAACTCATCGCACTTGGGAGGACCGCGTTTCCCAGGAACGTGCCCTGGTTCTTTACCTGCTCATGCTCCTTAGCTTGCTGCATGCAAAAGGAGGGCTAACCCAGCTAAACCTCTGTTGAGCTGTATTATACAATGCAACAGATGACTGTGGTTTTGGTGGAGAGCTTTGCCTGCGGAATTTGGCAGAAGCTGACTCGACCAAGAGCAGCTTCCCTTTTTCTTCTGCCAAGCTGTACAGATCTATGCTTGAAAAGAGAAGTCATGACCACGGCATCACACTCAGCACAGAGATGTTAAAACACCTTATCTTGGGCTGCCTCCCCCCCCCCTCAAGTTGTAATCCATACAAGAAAATGTGTTTCCAAGAAAAAGCCTTAAAAGTTTGTTACATATCATATAAACAGTCACATGCTGACATCAAAATCTTTTGGCAATAGAGTGGGAAGACCCATATGTGACATGAGGCTTGAAACATAGCAACAAATTGGAAGATTCAGGAATAATTTAAAAGACCTTCATAACATGTTTACAATATGTTGGATTAAAGATATTTACTAACTTGATACATTCCCTCTGTGTGAAAAATATGCCCCAAACCTTCCAGGAAAACAATTCTAAAAGCAGGAGGAAAGCAGTGGCCACTGAATGAAACATGGTGCTGTGGGAAAACATGGACACATTTTCCCAGGCTGTGCTACCGAGCTTTGTTACATATTCCCATGAGAAAACAAACATTTTAAATACAGTATCAAAGATAAATTTATAGTCTGATGATGCAACTTTATTTCAAAAAAAAAAAAAAAAAAAACTGCACAGTTTTGCCCAAGAAAGTTTGCTCAACTGTTCCTGTAAATCATACTTTGTGATTTACGATGTCCCCAAGGAATTCTTCTATGTCTAGTTATATGAGGTAAGAAATAGCTTTTCCTCGATTTGACACCAAATGACTCCTTTCTCTTCCTGGGCACCTGCTGAAAACCACGTAATATATTTGAAATTCAGTGAGAAAGAAACAAAAGACACCTGATCATATAGAAAAGATTAAAGAATCATACGTATGCTACAAGAGCAAGGCTTAGCTACGTGCTTGTCTGGCTTGTGAATGGAAAAGGAAGAAGAAGGGTCTTCAAGGAAAGCAGCCAAAGGAAACTGAAGCAAATGCAAAAAGCAGTTCAAGGCTATATTTAGAGGAAGACATTCTTCGTACGCTTGCCAAGCTATTCACGTCATTTCACACAGCATGTTTTATCCAGCTTTAGAAGTCTATGAGAGAAGAGCATTATAAGGAGAAAAAAAAGAAAAAAACAGAGAAAAGAAAAAAACCCTGAATCAGTTGCCAGAAATGGTAATCTTGTGAGTATTTAGAGGACTGAATATTTTAAGCATGTGAATTCAAGATAACTTTCCAAAGAGAAAAAAAAGAGGCGGGGAGGGGGTAAAACTTTCTACAAATATCCCAGAAAGATTCTGCAATCTCAATTATAAGCAACAGCAAAGCAACATGACCTGACCTCTCCGTTTCCTTTTCAGCTATTGCTAAAAACATTTAAATGACTGAAGCCTAAGACAGACAGTAAGCCTAAGCCTTCGGTGGTATAAACGAAGAAATATACACATTTATATATGCAGAGCACAACAATTTATATAAGTAATTTTCATAAGTAATGTGATAAACAATCCACAGTGAATAAACAAACACAAGCTCAAGGATGAAAACAGAGATAGAAACAGTCAAGTTTTATAAGATTATTACAAATTTGCTTTAGCTCCTTTAGTGCATGTCACTTGGTAGAGTTATTTGCATAAAGAAATGTCAGGCACACAGAAAATACGTCAGTACCAGATGCAACTGTAATAGGAGCAAACAAACGACATTTCCTGTTCGTGCCCTTCCTGAGAATGGGCACGGAAGCAGGTTCAGACATAGAACTGTTATCGCTTAAATAATCACAAGTGACTTAAAAAGTTTTTACCTTCATTCCCTTCTCCTGGTGGCTGGTAAAACGAAAGCCCCAAAGATATGATGGCTGCAATTTCCAAGATTATGAGAGTCACATCCTGTAGCGCTTCCCAGACTAGCTGTAAGAATGTTTTTGGCTTCTTTGGAGGTATAAAGTTTTTCCCAAAAATAAGCTTTCGTTTTTCTAGGTCTGCCGCAGCGCCAGATAATCCTGTAAATAAAGTAAACAGGGGAGAAAAAAAAAAAAAAAAGAAATTGTAGTGAACCAGAAAACACCTAGTCACATCTGCATATTAGTAAATATCTTTTCCCCAAATAACTGCAGCTATAGTACCATAGCTACCATAGTAATAGGCAGATTTTCCATTTAAATTTTGTTTTTGCCAAATAATTTGTCATTGTGTTCTGAATAGAGGTTTTAAGGACTCTGTTTAATACTAATTCTTGTCAGTTTTAGCCATACAAAGCCCGTGAATTCATTTAATAAGACGTGTGCATAGATACATATATAGACATATGTTTATAAGCAATGACTTCTAAAAAAAAAAAAAAAAAAAAAAAAAAGCTCCAATAAACTATCTGGGAGGAGGAGGAGGGAGCAGCCGGCAGCAGCTCCTGGTATCAAGTCCCAGCAACGTCTCTGGGTTCACAGCTCCGGCAAGCAGCCTCGAGCGCGGGCAGCGGGGCCTGGGCCTGCAGCCCTCAGCGCAAGGGGACGCGGCCGGGCCCTGCCAGCCTCACGCAGGCCTGGCAGGGAGGGCACCCGCTTGTCATCGCGGTGCCGAGTTACAAGGGGCGGCAGCTCGTGGTGACTCATCAAACTTTCATCTCCGGTCAGCTCCCGGGACACGCGATCCTCCTCCCGCCCGGAGGAAGGCGCGCGGCCGCCCTCATCGCCTGCCCTGCACGTGGAGCACCCGGAGCCCCGCGAGGCTGCGCCACACGGGCTCCAGCTATTGGGAAGACACCTGCGGCACTGATTCCAAAGGAATTGATTAAATAAATAAAAGCATCAAACTTCTCAAGATTCATCAAACTTCCTCTGGGAGCTTCTGGCGCCCAGGAAAGGCTTCATGCCAAGGAACAACTCAACTCCGCCAACATCTAAGGATCAGACCATGCGCCACTTGGATAGATGCTTTTGTTTTTGAACAAATGATGATCACAAAGCTTGGGACAGCATGAGGTCAAGGACAGCAGCCAGAGCCTAAGGAACTTGCACTGGAATTTAGCAGTACCTCAATACACAACAGCATTGTTTCACCTTTGATGATAAATATGACCCTCCTTAAGACCCATAAGCAGGCAAGGGTTTATTCTTGGGCAAGGCTTTTTCCCTGAAAGTGTGGATCAGGTGAAATAAATCAGACAATTTGAGAAAGATTCACCTAAAAATGAAAATATATTCACGTTTGAGATGTAATTGCTTGTAAATAATTTAGAAATATTGAGAGACAAATTGCAATGTTTTGTTCAACTCAAAATGTTCCCCTTCTTCTGAGATCTGGCCACTACCCAAAAAAACCCACATTCAGCTAAATTTTTCTATTCATTTTCTCTCCAAAAGCCATACACTAACAAACCTAAATTTAGGAATTTAGAGAGAAAGACTCAAGGAGGCAGGGAAGAAATCTAAAGACCATTTGATTGTAGTCACAACATGAGTTCTAAAAGCTATTGCTGAGACAAAGTCAGAAAGGGGCAACAGCATGGTGCTATAAAGACAAATACATACTGGCTTAAAGGACCTAAAAGAGAAGACAAGACTATAGAGAGAAATGAGGCTAAAGACAAGCGAGAATGCAAGGCAGCGTAAGATGTTTCATTTTGGAAAGCAGCCATTCATTAATGGCATCACCGCTCCAAACTCCTGGCAGCAGAAGGCATCACGGAGACGCTCCTTATCTCCAAATAACCTGCTTTATTGAGACGAGTTTGGTAAAATAGCCCCGAAGTCTTTGAGCAAACGCACCGTAGCCGTGTGAAGCAGGGCAGGGGTCGGTGGCGCTTCGCGCGGTGCCGGCAGATCCGCGGCTCCCGCTCGCGCGGCGCCCGGCGCTGCAGATGGTGCCGACGTCAGCGGGCACCGCGGGAGCTGCCGCGGACAGCTGGCCTCCCTGTCCCTGCTAACCGGGGGACGCCTCGCCTGCTGCTGCGTTGGCTTTGTCCCTTTTTTCTCTTTTCTTCCCTCCCTTCCCCTTTTTTCAAATTATTCTTCATACTGAAGAATCGGTGAGAATTTAAAAAGAAGACTTAAAAAAAAACCCTGTAGAAATAGCAGTTAGTGGCTTCCTCTGCTTGTTTCCTACTCCTCTCAGTTACTGCATGCAGAATATAAAACCTGAATTTCAACTAATACTTCTTAGAAAAGTGTATTTCTTTTGAATGTCATCTCCACTGCAGCCAAATGGAGCAGCGGAGAGGAGGATTTCAAGTGCAGCAGAAATAAACAGCACAAGCTCATCACTACTAAAGAAAAAAAAAATCTTGTGAACGAATATTTCAATTGCTCAAAAAACTGTAAGACTTAGATGAAGAATGGGGAATTTACATTAATATAAATGCATTCTAATTAAAAGCCATTTTTAATAACAAGCAAGGAAAAAGACAAATTCTGCAAACCAAAATTCATTCAACTTTCTTCCTAATATTCTCATTTCCTGACATACCCAGAAAAATAGATGTAAATTGCAAATAGCAAAAATCATAAACAACATAATTTAAAAATCTATTTAATTTAGAAATCCTAATGCAAAAAATTCTTCTTCAAGGAAAGTAAAAGCTTAACACCAATGCTGAACTGCTGTTAAGTAATACACAGGGGAAAATAAATTATTTTAAGAGATAAAGTCTAATGACAATTCCATAAACAGAACCAGAAACAATTCCGGAAACTTGCTGCAACGCAGCCACAACGCAGCCACTCGTCTGAGACGTGCTGCAATCCCACACTAAAGTAATGACTGGCCTGACAGGGCTTTAGCAGGAGCCTATACGAAGGCAGAGGAAACATCAAATATTAAAGGCCAGATCTAGATCCGAGCAGATGGACAGTATCTTTCTTGCTCTAACAGACACCCAATTTTCCTGCCAGGGCAACCAAGAACGTGTTGGACAAGAGCTCCAGCCCCGCTCACTGCCGCAGCCAGCGAGGGTGACGCCATCCATGCCAGGACTGCGGCTCTGGCTGCTCAATGGTACCAGATACAGAAATACAAGGAGAGCAGCTGGACTGCCGACCGCCCGTAACCCTAAAAGGGCCTTCAACTTAGATTTTCCACGTTTCTTATCACAATTTAACTTCTCGTGTCGCTTGAAGTTTTCCAAGTGAAACGCTACGGGTAAAGGACATGCATGTCCCTAAGTCAATGAAATGTTCCAGAAACTCAGTGACCATCTGACTATGAAATTCATTACGGCTGAGCATATATCAAGTAAAACGCAGTCCTGCGTCACTAGTTATTAAGGAAACATGCTAGGGCAGTTATGTAAGGACTTGCTGCTATGGTTCCTTAAAAGAAAAGAAAAAATGTTCATTAAAGACCTCCAAGAATTGATTTCCCTAAAGTGCTGTTAATAAGAGGATCAGTTTACATCATCACTATTGGATGTGTTTTCTCCCCAACTTTAAGTGCTTTTAAACAGAGCTAACAGAGCCAATAACTTTCCTTGGAAGAGCAAACATTGGGACTCCCTTGGCAGAGGCTGCCCAAAACGGCCTCTCCTCTCAACCCGGGGACACCAACCTCCAGGCTCACATGGCCTGGACTCGCCACCCACCTCTCGAGCTTCTCTACTGAGCTCCACGGAGCCCCTGCTCGGCAGGGAGGCCACCCGGCCGGCCGGGACGCCGCGCAGGAGCAGCCCGCCAAGGGGACGGTCACACGGAGGAAGGTGGCAATCGGCCGGATGGGCAGCGAGCCACGCGGGCTTCCCCCTCAGCGCAGCGCCACGCTCCTGCGCGGCGCCCTCAGAGTCCTCTGCATCTCTACTGCTGTTTGAAGGAACTTTTATTATTCTTTGTCACCGCAGTCTCTACTGATTCTTCAGGATAAGCAGCTCCAAGAGTCTGTGTGTTGTATTTATTCAATGAGGCTGGAGGGATGGCTAAAAGTAACTTGACAACAAATGCTCCATAACAGCATGGAAAAGTTTTTTTTTGTAGATGAGGTCAGGAATGGGGTTTCATATTATACAGATATTTTAATTATTATTGTTATAATAACAGAGAAGCAGAAATCCTTTTTCTGAGGCAAGAAGCTACTGTTTTAGGATATCTATAAAGGAGCCAAAAATGAAACTATCAAAAAATCCCCCTTGCTGAGTCTGCTTCCATAGCATCACTCTCCTCTCTCCCTCTTCCTTGAGAAGAAACCATGCAGCAAAGCAGACAGCAGAGCTGTGTTCTTCACTGGATCACATGCAGTCACTCAAGAGCATTCAAATAGCTAGGCCTTGCAACCCTCAAACCGCCCAGGCACTCTGTTGTGCTCAGCATTACCTGTGTAACAGCCTGTGTTCCACCAACCGCTACCTGTTTCCTCCATCTTCTTCAAATTCGGGAAGGGCCCAGAAGAAATTGAGATTTTTTTCTTTTTTTTTTTTTTTTCCGTGTTCTAAGGCTCGAGTTGCTGGAAGCCTTGGCTGGCTTTTGGCAGAAGCGTGCCCCATGGCAGGTACGTATGGGTAGATGCAGAAACCAGCATAGAGGGCTCTATCCCAAGAGCAGCACGGTAATAGGAGGCATCAACAGAAGCACTAAGTCTCATAACAAAAAGCAGCCTTGTGCTGCTTCAGAGAGTAAACAACCACCATGTTCTCTTAATGCCCCCAAATCAACTCCTTTGGTTATTAGCTAAATTTCAGCATACACTTGGGAGTTTAAGTTTTCCTGTAAAATGAAATTTCACCTTAGAAGCAATTTAATCAATTCACAGCTTAACTATTTTCACTGCAGCAGTTACCATATCTATATTGTGCTATTACTTCATTTCACTTCCAGCCCATTAGTTCATTGCGCACCTTAATCCAGCACAGCTGGGAAGAGGCAATCTTAATCCAAAGTAAGAGCATACAGGGAAAGGGTTCATCCTTAATGGTTAATGAGGAATAGATGTTCCAGAATAAATCCACAGAGTGAGAATGAGCAAATCCCTTCAACTGAGCTCGACTTGGACTGTTAGAGGTGTGCTCTGTCCTAAGAGCAATGAA